GGAGACTATTGGGACTGGACAAGGTGGCTCAGTGGGCAGCGCCAGGTCACAGATGGGGAGCTTGGTTTGGCCCAAGGGTCGTGGTAAGCTGGGGAGTGATTTTAATCAGGAGAGCAGCATCTGGAGTGCACATGTTATGTCCACCCTGTGCTACTGTGGGGGAGGGACAGAGGCTTGTTGTCCTCAGGTTGGACAAGGGTGGGGGCACAGGGGAGGACAAGGGGAGGCTCACCCTGAGCAACGGAGGCACCACTGATGAAGCACTAAGCAGGGCGAGGCAGATCCGAGGGGAAGGCGTGAATCCTGTTCCTCACATACTGATTTTCTAAAATTTCTTTTTACTTTTTTTTTTTTTAATACTGGAGATTGAAACCAGGGGTGCTTTACCATTGAACTACACCCCCAACCCTTTATATTTTTTATTTTGAGACAGGGTCTATTAGTGAGCTATATCTCTAGCCCAGGATATTCTCTCTTACAACCACAGTACAAAGATTGGAATCAGGAAATTAACAGTTTTGTCAATTGTCCCAATAATGACCTTTATAGCAAAAGAATTTTCTGGTCCAAGATCCAATTGGGGATCAAACATTGTGTGTCTTCCAGGCTCCTTTCATCTGTACTAGTCCCTTAGCCATGCTTCACCTTTCTGGATCTGGGCATTGTCTTGTTATATGGCCCTCAATTTGGGGTTGTCTGAGTCTATTCAGGTTATGCATTTTGGGCAGGAATGTGGGAATTTGTGATTGCAAGCATGTATGTTATACTTTAAAAGTTTTAATTTAAGCCATGTGTGGTGGGTGCACGCCTGTATCCCAGGTTGAGGAGGCTGAGGTAGGAGGATCGTAAGTTCAAACCCAGTCTCAGCAACTTAGAAAGGCTCTGAGCAACTTAGCGAGAGGCTGTCTCAAAAAATGTATATAAAAGGGCTGAGGGTATGGCTCAGAAGTTAAGCCCCCTCCCCCTTCAATTCCTGGTTTAAAAAAAAAAAAGTTTTCATTCAAAACAAGAAAGTGAGTGATGAAAGGAAGTGAGTGGCAGCCAGGGGTGGGAGCAAAACTGGGAGCACTGGCAGCAGGCAAGCAGGGGGGTCTGGAGCTGGTGGAAGGGCAAGTGGAACCCACCAGGGTCTTGGCAAAGATGGATGGAAACTGGCAAGAGCTTGGTGGGCACAGGCTGCAGATGGAAGTCCAGCTGTGGGATGCTCTGGGAGACAACTGGAGCAGTGGATAAGCCCCAGGACTCTGGAGTCACATTCCTAGATTTGAACCTGGCTGTGTGCCTACCAGCTGTGTGACCCTAGGCAAGTGGTTTAACTTCCTTGTGGCTCAGTTTCTTCAACGTGAGATARAACTAGTACCTCCCGCAAGATACTGTTGTAAGAAGACCTGTTTCAGTGCGAAGGCCCTTGAGGGTACCTTCAGAGACTATCAGCAAATGTTTCATGGGACGCCTGGYGGCGAGGCCCGAGGGGGCGAGCCAGCCAGTTCTCCTCCATTCCCCTCTCTAACATGCCTGCAGAGAGGAAGGGAGGTGGGGCATCTTGGCAGAAAGTAGCCCCTGACCAGGGGAGTCTGGTGATGGGGTGGGTTGTCACAGAGGAGGAGACCGGAAGAAGGATCGAGCCTCCTGGAAGATCTGGCTGAAGGGTGTCAGGCCATTCGGTCACCTACTCCCCCCTCCCCAATTTCCCCCTTCTAGCTCTCCCCTCCCCCACATACCCCCAACCTTTCCCCTAAGCCACCTTGGATCCTGGTTGGTTGCCTTCCAACCCTTTATGCCCCATCCTCAGGCACCTGGCGTCCCCGCAGATCAATCGTGTTTGCCAGCTGGGGGGCAGAGGAGTTCGGGCTCATTGGCTCCACGGAATTCACAGAGGTGAGTAAGCCCCACAGAGTAGGGGATGGAGAGGGGCTTCTGGGACTGGGTAGCACTGGACCAAGTCGACCCCCGCCTTCGCAGGAGTTCTTCAGCAAGCTGCAGGAGCGCGCGGTGGCCTACCTCAACGTGGACGTCGCGGTGATGGGTACGGGGTGGGCGCTGCAGGGCGCCGGCCTGACGCGGGTGGGTAGGTAAAGGGACTGGAGTCTGAGTAGTCTTTCTCTGTTCCTCCCATAGCCAATGCTACCCTTAGAGTGCTGGGGACACCCCCTGTCCAGAGTGTGGTCTTCTCTGCCACCAAGGAGGTGCTGGGGACTTGSCGTGGCGGGGTGGAGCGTAGACCGAGTAGGGCGGGGCCGTATAGGGGGGCAGAGCCAGACCTGATGGACAGCAGGTGGTCGGGAGACTGTGGGGACTTGGGTACCCCGCTGACGGCCCGCCTGGTTGTTGGGGCTGGGGAGGGTGCCCGCCCCAAGACTAGATTCCCTTCTGGGCCAGATCGATTCTCCAGGCCCCAACGGCCCCAGTATCTACGACAACTGGAAACGGCACTTCAACCGCAGCAGCCCGGTGTACGGCACGGTTCCCAGGTGAGACCGGGGACTGTAGGTGGGGACCAAGCGCAGCGGGTCGGCCGGTTGCCCTCCAGCCAGCCCACTTCTTTCCCGCAGTCTGGGCTCACTGGGTGCTGGCAGCGACTACGCCCCCTTCATTCACTTCCTGGGCATCTCCTCCGTGGACATGTCCTACACCTATGACCGGGTGAGCAGGCATCCCACGTCCCTTGCTCTAATTCTAAATCTCTAGTGCAGACACTGTATCTGGCTCCTTCGCTTAGTAGCTGTGCTACCTAATGTTGAGTTTCTTAACCTCTGAGTCTGTTTACACTCATCTGTTACTTTGTCAAATATAAGATACTACTGATTTTAAGAAGCAACATTGTGTTATGCATTATTCAGGAGGGAAGAAAAAAAACCAATCGGTTGTACAATGACATTAATTATAGAAAGCCTTGAGATCTTAAAATGTGTGTGTGAGGAGTTTATCTCAATATTGATTAAATGTTGTGAAATAGGGAAGACTCATAGCATCGAGTGAGGTTGCAGTGAGAAGCAGGATGCTGAGTGGCCAGCCTGTCTCTCTGTTTGATGTCCCATAAAGGCTTTTCTCCATCTCACCGCCACACTGGTACTGAGCGTGGAGCTTGGATTTAAGTCCCCCTGACTCCAGGGCTCCAGGCTCCTTCAGGTGAAACTGGAATTTGGCACCCAAGCCAGCTCTGCCTCCTATTAGTCATGCGATGTCTGGCAGATTCATCGCTCTGAGCCTCAGTTTGCTCCTCTTTAAAGTGGGAATTGTAGAACCCATCTCATGGAGGTGCCAAGGGTTCGACTCTGACAATTCCCACACATTGTGGCTTGCTGTAGGTGTACCTTCCACCTCCTATCCTAAGCCCATCACCTCTGCCTTGTCCCCCCAGAGCAAGACCTCAGCCCGGATCTACCCCACCTACCACACAGCTTTCGACACCTTTGATTATATGGAAAAGTTTGTGGACCCTGGTGAGGAGTGGGGCAAGGAGCATCCTGAGACCACCCACAGGAGACTGAACTGAAGATAGCCTGGTCTTGTTCTCTATGTAGGCTTCAGCAGCCACCAAGCTGTGGCCCGGACAGCTGGGAATGTGCTTCTTCGGCTCAGTGACAGCTTATTCCTGCCCCTCAATGTCAGTGACTACAGTGAGGTCCTCCACAGCTTCCTGCAGGCTGCCCAGCAGGAACTTGGGAACCTGTTGCAGCAGCACAACATCAGCCTGGGTATGGACACCCCCTGACATTGAGGCATGGAGAACTCTGCTCCTGCAAAGCTAAGCCACTGGGTATTCTCCACAGGGCCTCTGGTGACGGCAGTGGAGAAGTTTGCGGTAGCAGCTTCGGCCTTGGATCAACATGTTTCAGCACAGAGGAAAGGCAGCCCTGAGTGAGCAAGGGAGAGGGCAGGTGGCTGGGAAGGTGCACCCAAGCTGCGGGCTGCAGGGTGAGCCACAGGTCCTGCCTCTGCCAGTCCCCTGCAGGTCCGGATGTTCAATGACCAGTTGATGCTCTTAGAGCGGGCCTTCCTGAACTCCAGAGCCTTCCCAGAGGAACGCTACTACAGGTGAGCTTGTCCCAAAGCTCCTCGCAGGCGCCAGGCAAAGGCCACCTGCCCGAGGAAGAAGATAGCAGCTTTGCTGCTTTGGAGCACAATCTAGTCCAAGGCAGGGGGGAAGGTGAGTCTYAGGGAGGGGAGGCAAATCAGTCACATCGGGGACTCTAATCTACAGTCTTCCCACCATGAAACTGTACATGGCAGCTTTCAGATGGGTTGGGTGGGGGCTTTTGTGCCTGGCTGTGTAGAGCAGCTGAGTTCCAGGCTGGGCCTTTCACTAACCCTGAGCCTGCCCATTTCTCATCAGCCATGTGCTCTGGGCACCCAGCTCCAGCTCTGTTGCCACATTCCCTGGCCTGGCCAATGCCTGCTACAGGGCCAAGGACACAGACGCCGGATCTGAAGCTTGGGCTGAGGTGCAGAGACAGCTCAGCATCGTGGTGGCAGCTTTGGAGGGTGCAACAGCCACCCTGAGACCTGTGGCTGAACTCTGACCCCAGCCTGTACTCCTCCGATCTCCCTTTATCCTAACCCTCTCCCACATATTTTCCCCGGAGCGTGTCCCAGTCTCCCCCAAGGCCCAAAGTATGTATAATCACGGTCCCCTCTCCAGCTTGAGGCAACAGCTAGGAGTTCCATCAGTGGGGACACCGAGGGGAGTGGCAAGTCCCAATCTCCTTCCTCCTGGATCTGGCTGGCAGAATGGCTGGCAGGGCTGCTAGGGGATGAAAACCCAACAAGTGATGGCATTGGTGGGTTGGTGAGTGCAGGATGCACAATGTCCACCTTAGAGGCCAATTCAGAGATCAGCAAGGCCACCCCTCATGGACTCATAGGCACACTCAGGTCCAGGTAGACAGGGCCTTGCCCAGTCTGTTTGCCTCTCCTGCCACACCCATACAGTCTCCTCTCTATGTGCCCTCCAATAAATGAAGTACAGCCATTGGTCCCAAAAAGAAAGTTCCTTTTATGATCTAAGAACCATGAAAAAAGAAACCTAAGTTATCTGACCCAGTCCTGAAGCTCTGGAAGCTGGCATATATCCCCCTAATGCCAGGTCCCCCTAATGTCAGACCTAGGAAGGTCTGAACACACCTTCATCCTCCTCCTCTGCCATGACCACCTCCTCCAGGGTGCGCCCTCGGAGCTTACTCCCCACTAACACRTTGCAGGTACCAACAGGTGGCAGTCCTTTCTCAGTATAGCAACCCCTCAGGAACACAACTCTCTCCTCTCCATCCAGGGGTAGCCCATGGGCCTGACACAGGTCCCGTGCTTCGTGAGGTCCATCCAAGGCCAGCAGATGAACCATGAAGTCCAAAGGCAAAGTCTGTCCCTTGGGGGTACTAAGGGCACGAGCGAGGCGGGCCAGGGCAGCACGACGGGCATGGCCCACGTGGCCCTGCACTGCACAGCTCTGCAGGTAGGACAGGGTCCGAAGTAGGCGGAAAAGACGGGCTGCATTGCCCTCCCGGAAGGCGGCGTCGATGGCCAGGGCAGTGCGCAGGGGCGGACAGGCACGAAGGGCAGCAGGCAGCTGCAGAACTTCATATAGCGCCTCCACAGAGCCTGAGAAGTTGGGAGGCTGGGATGAGGCCTGGTTTTCTAGGATCAGGCCCACTTCCCGTCCCATCCCCTTAGGCCCTACCCATCTCCACAGGCCCTACCCATCTCCACTCCCGCCAGCTCCAAGACTCAGCTATGCTCACTCTTCTGGCCAGACAGGGCTGGCCCTCCACGAGGGTCAACTCCAGTTCTTGATCCTGCTCACCCCAACTTGACCATATCCCTTTGCCTGCACAGCCCACCTTGCCCCACTTTCCCAATAAGATCCTGCAGTCAGGCCTTTACCTGATCCAAATGTCAGCCTAGGTGCTTACAATAGAGAAGAAGTGGGCAGTGTTGGGGAATGATGGGGAATGAAGAAACAAATAAATTAACAGCTTGCCTGAGAGCCTTAGAGACAGTATGTGGTAGGGCCTAACCCAAATTGAAGTTTTGTCACTTGATTTTCCCACTGCCTTGGCTGCCCTGTACCCACAGTTTGGGAGCCTGATCTACTAAACCATCCTCATCTGCCTGGGAAGGCCATTTCTTCAGGAGCCCCTATCTTGCTTCTTTTCTTTCAGAAAATCACAGGACACTGGGAACTTGGGCACCTTTTGTAAACTGAGGCTTCTGACTCATTAGTGAGCTGTGAAGTCAAGAGTATTTCAATTCAATTGATTTTGTTAAAATGCACCACCCATATAAAGGCTCTAGTCTTGAAACTTCTGTCAGATGTGTTCCTGGGCACGTGTGATCTCTGCAACACTGTTAGGGAAGGGAGATTTTAAAATGTTTGAAAATCACTATCAAGGCTAACTCTCCCAACCCTGTGCCTTCCATTTTAGTTTATCATTCATTCATTCATTCATTCACTTATTTATTTATTTATTTATTTATTAGTGGGGGCATTGAACCCACAGGCGTTTAACCACTGAGCCACATTCTCAGCTCTTTTTGAGACAGGGTCTCAATAAGTTGCTAAGGGCCTTGCTAAATTGCTGAGGCTGGTCTCTAACTTTCGACCCTCCTGCCTCAGCCTTCTGAGTTGCGGGGATTACAACTGAACTCTGAAATAGGAGTCGGGTCTGGGGTCTGATGTTGGGGGTTTTGCACTGACGTTTCTGGAAGGAAACTGACGTTTTCTTTCTTTGCTACTTTTGGGAATGGAATCTAGGGCCTCGAGTATGCTAAGCATGCAACCCCAGCCTCTAACGGTGAGATTTTAAACTTCTTTTCTTTGCCTCCACTGTCCTCATGGAGGGGTCCCTGGCTCCATGCCAGTAAGGCTGGGATGCCGACTCACCCAAGTTATAGAGCAGAAAGAGTCCTTGGAAGGCAGCCTGGCGTGGGTGCGGCCCTGCGCTCTGCGCGTAGCAGCGCCGCAGAGAGCCGAAGCTCTCCTGTACCTGGGTCTGCAGCAGCACGGGGTCCACCGGCCCGCGCGTCTCAACCGGCTGGAGTCGAGCCACTACGGCCAACAGCGTGGCCAGTGCAGCCTCTAGTACCACCGCCGTCTCGGCGTCGCCCGCGCTCTGTAGAACCAGATCTAGCCGCACCGCGCGCAAGCGGTCAGCCACGAAGCTGGCCACTTCCGCGAGGGGCGCGTTGGGGCTCTCGGCCACCTCGCTGGCCAGGTAGCGAACGGTGGCCAGCAGCACCGAGGGCGGACGCAGCTGGCTCGGCGGGGGGCGGAGCTTGCCGGCAGCGGGTCGATTGTACTCCTTTACCGTGCGCTGCGGGTCGGCGCGGGGCGGGTCCCCTGTCCACCCCCTATCCACCTCGAAGCGATGAAGGCGGCGCTCCCTTTCGCGCTGGGCACGTTCGGCGGCCGGGCACATGTCTGGGCACATACCCACAGGCAGCTTGCTGCCGGGCATGGGTGGGCTGCGGGGATGGGGGGCGCTCAGAATCCCGGGGACAGCGGCCGKTCTCCCCATCCTGTGGGAGGGCACGCCACTGCCCGCGGAGGCCGGGTGAGGTTCCGCCGAGGCGGGGCGGGGCCGAGCCTCGCTGGGCCCGCCCCGCCTCCCCGCCCGGGTCTTCAACGTCCCCGCCCTCCCGGCCGGCCACCGCCGCCCTCTCACCGGATCCCTAGAGTCGTGCTCCCTAGATGCACTGCGTTGTAGTCCGGCGATGCCAGCACTATTTCGCGAACTCCGGCTCCAGTAACGTCCCCCACAACGCGCCGCGCTCGGCCTCCTCTACCTTAAAGATTGCAGGCCKGGCACTCCCATGATGCACCGGTTTGTAGTCCTTCCCGTAACCAATAGCCGGCKGGGAGGGGCGTGGCACCGCGGGGCCACGCCCCCTAGGTCTCGCTGGGATTTATTCCACTAAACCGTCGGTTAGGGCGGTCCCGAAATTAGCGTCCTGGTCTTGGTTTCCGTCCCTCTTCCTTTTCACTCAATAAACTGGCTCTATCGACCTCTTTCTCTACTGTTTCCCTGGAGATACTCTATTCTATTATTATTATTTTTTTGCATAGAATCAAGTAGAATGGTCCGAGGATGCAGTCCTGAGGAGGGAGGCTGAGGCATGAGGACAAGTTCCAGGCCAACCTGGGCAACTTAGCCAGACCCACTTGCAAAAGAACAGTTAGAAAAGAGGCGGAGAGGGGCTGGGGTTGTGGCTCAGGGGTAAAGCGCTTGCCTACCATGTGTGAGCATAAAAATTAAAGGTCCATTGACAACTAAAACATGAGAGAGAGAGAGACAGACAGACAGACAGATAGATAGAGTGGGTGTGCTTAGAAAGCCTGAGACCCGGGTTTCAATCCTCAGAATGACGGAGAAAAAAGAAAAACAGTTTTGGGATTTGCTGGTCGCCTTACTCAAATCTGCTGGTTGCAGCCATAGATGTGGTAGAGCCTGGTTATGTTCCAACAATTTTTATTCATAGACACTTAACTTTCATTTTATTATTATTATTTTTAAAATTATTTTAGTTGTTGATGGACACAATACCTTTATTTTTATGTGGTGCTGAGGATCGAACCCAGTGCCTCGCAAGTGCCAGGTAAGCTCTCCACCACTGAGCTACAACCTCAGCCCTCATTTAATTTTCACTAGTCACAGACTCTTACTCATTTGATTTCCCCATCGCACACACCATTAAAAAGATGTAGCAACCATTCTAGCCTGTGGGCCTTAAAAAAAAGGTAGGTGATGGGCCAGATCTGGCTGTAGGCTGCAGTCTGCAGACCCCAGTTCCAGATGGCTAAACTGACAAGTTTTAATGACGAGACCTGCTGCTGCCACATCACGATAGATACTGGCACATTTAGAGTCCTGATTCCAAGAAGGCAGGCAGTCAGGTAGCCATTGTGTTCCTTGGTCCAGTTACATAGAGAAATGGCCCCTGGGGTTGCTGGGGAAGGAGAGGGGGAGGCTGGCAGTGCTGGAGCTAGAGTCCTGTGGAAGGCCCACTCCTCAGGGCGGCAGTTGAGACAGGTGCAGGTGTAGAATCTCTTCAGCCCGCTTTAGGTACTCAGCTGCCTTCTTCTTCACACCTTCCCGGCGGGCAGGGGACGGGTCACCTGTGGAGAGACTGGCTCAGCTGAGGTACTTGAGCCCAGCTCCCTTCGGAACCCCTGGTCTAGCCCTGACGGGTCACAGAGCAGCATCACGTGTCCTTCTCCCTTCCCTGGGACTTACCATGTCTCTCCTCCCCATTCTACTAAAAAGAAAACTGAAGCCACCAAGAGGAAGGAAAGTAATCTTCTCAAAGTGACATGGTCATCAGTCAGTGAGGAGAAAGGCTCCTGGTCCTTGCCTGCTTTTCCCTTTCCCTTCCTTACTGCTCCATCTGGGACCCCAGGCCTGACCCTCTACCCTCCAGCCCCTACTCACTGGGCACCCCCTGGAGCAGAATGTGCACACCATCTCGGTAGCCCTGGAGCGCAGCGGGGTAGGCGCCTGCCTTCTCGTCCCGCAGGGCCTGGGTGATGAGCTCTGTGGCCTGGCTAAGATAGGCAGGGCGAGGCCCTCCTCCGTCCTCTTCTTCCTCCTGCCCTCCTGGCTCCCAGGGCTCCTGGTTCAGCCTCGTGGACTCTACTTCCATGGCTGCCAGCTCACCTATGTGGGTGGGGCTGGGGCCTGTGCCTTCTGCAATCGGAAAAAGAGCATTCAAGCCTTACTGGCCCTTCATTTCCCTTGGACTGTCGACCCCTCCCAAACCTCTCTGACTCATCTAGGTACCAGTGTGTCCTCATGGAGGGGTGCAGGGCCTGGACAGTCTAGAAGCCACTTGAGTATAGCAAAAAGAGTCCTACCTTCCTAATTCTTTAGGTATACACTAATTTTTCTTATTGAGCTCTGGGTCACTCACTGGTCCTATTTTTCTTTCCCGACTCCAGTTGGCCTAGGAATGCAAGAGTTTCTCCACAAGTTCAGTTACAGGATGGTAGACTAACTATACAGGCTCAGGGTGAAAATGCTGCTTTCCTTCCTTCCTTCTTTTTTTTTTTTTTTTGACAGTGCTGGGGATTGAACCCAGGGTCTTGCACATGCTAGGCAAGCTACACCCTCCAGGGCTTTTTCTTTTAGTTGTAGTTGGATACAATACCTTTATTTATTAATTTTTATGTGGGGCTGAGGACTAAACCCAGTGCTTCACACATGCTAAGCGAGTGCTCTACCCCTGAGCCACAACCCCAGCCCTCTCCAGGACTTTTTCAAGATCTTGAAATCTCAGCTGAGAACCCCAGGGCGAGGGGCCGTGGGCAACTGGCATCTTCATGTTCCAGGTTGAAGGGCTCATGACATCCCGGAGGTGGTCAGAGATCCTCCCTGTGGCTTTCATATGAGGTGGCTACAGAGTCAGTGAGTCTTTTGAGAAGAGGCCTTTGACAGGAAGGAACAGGAGCAGGGAGCACCGTGGCATTCCGGTCCTGGAGACAGAATGCACGATTGGGCATCTCTCCGGCCCCATCCAAATGGGGAGTCCCAGGAGATCCATGAAGAAATGAGTGGCAGGAAGGCAGGAGGATGTCGCCCCTCCCAGCTGGGCCTAGAGCCCTCCCTGTGTTGCTCAGGAAGCAGGGAGTGCAAGAGTTTGTGGAGCCCCTAAATACTTGAGGTCAGGAGCTTAGTGTCTGAAGAAGAGAGGCAGGGGTGGGGCTGGGGTTGTGGCTCAGTGGTAGAGTGCCTGACTAGCAAGTGTGAGGCACTGGGCTCGATCCTGAGCTCCACATAAAAATAAATAGAATAAAGGTTCATCAAATCTAAAATATAAATAATAAATAAATACAAAAAAAAGAGAGAGAGATGGGGTGCTGGCTCCTGGCATAAACGACTGTTGGGGAGGCAGGAGGGAAGGAAGTGCCTGAGCACAGTGCACTTCAGCAACAGGGACACAAGGATTGGAGAATTTTCCTATGGACATAGTAAATGTCTCAGGGGTGCAACCTGTAAAGGGCCTTTCAAAGCAACTGCCAAGCCGGGTGTGGTGGCGCACACCTGTAATCCTAGCATCTCAGGAGGCTGAGGCAGGAGGATCGCAAGTTTAAGGCCAGCCTCAACAACTTAGGCCTTAAACAACTTGGTGAGACCCTGTCTCTAAATAAAATATAAAAAGGGCTGGGGATGCGGCTCAGTATTAAAGCGCCCGGGTTCAATCCCTGGTACAAAAAAAAAAAAACAAAAACAAAACCCAGCAACTGCCAGTGGCTGTCCTATCCTCCACCAGGAACCCTAGAGAGCTCAGCTGGGCCAGGGAATCTGGGTGCCTGCCACTCAGAGGATGGTACAACATCCCTGGTGATACCACCTCTTCTGTCCCCAATCCATTCTCCCCCTTCCCCAACCTTGGAGGTGTGGAAGAAGAACAAGTAAAAGCAAGCTCCTCACACCCTTGTAACTTGCTGGCCTGGCCACTGGCCACTGGCCTGAGCCAGGGGGAAGGTGAGGCTGACAGCTAGATGGGAGCTGACACAGGCTGGCCTAGGCTGTTTCCTCTCCTAGGCTGGGCCTCAGATGCCTGAAACTCATCAGAAGGTGAAGGGTCAGCCCTCAAGGCCACCAAAGGGCAAACAAGGAGGGCCAACAAAACCAGCTTAAAAACACTCCTAAGGAATAAAAAGAGAAACTGTTTCACGATCATCCCAAAGTGAGATTGACCACTTTAACACCTGGGTTGCCGTTACAGCAGAAGCTTGGAGAATTTCTGAATGAAAAACCCAGTGTCTCACTGTTGGGAACTATCATGTTCCTGGTCTCAGGGCAGGAAAGTGCTCAGGACCCTGTCCCATGTGGGGAGCTCATCTGCTTCTGGTGGCCTCCAAGGCAGAGTGGCTTCCCTTGGCTGCTCTTTGAGCCCAGACTGACAGGCTTCTCCTACCTCCAGGATCTGCAGGGGACCCTGAGCCAGCCAGGAAGCCCCACCTTGGACTTGCAGGACAAGCTAAAACCTCCCAGAGCAATGGGACCCTGCTCTTCCAAGCTTTCACAGGGAGAAATGGCTCATCTCCTTCCCCAATGGTTGCTCACTGTACAGGGACAACTTGCTCAGATTTACACAGTTGCAAACAGCTGGYTGGTGGTCCTGCCTCCTCTTTTGCCCCCAAGGACCTGCTACTGCAATCCCTGCCCTGCCTGCCCCTGCTCCTTACCTTCCTTGGAGAAGGGGTCAAAGAGGGCAAGCTCAGCCTCAGAGAGAGGGCCTTGGGCAGGGGAGCCGGATGCCTCCTCTGTGCTGCCACAGGTGAAGAGAAGATCCAGAGCCTCCTGGGCAGGGCTGGACGGCGGGGGGTCTGCTGAGGACAGACCATTGGGATATTAACACCTGCACATAAACCACTCGACAGAGTTCAAAATGGGATGATCCTCTCGGTAAATCCTTGCAGCAATAGGCATAGACAAGCCCATCATCAGGGTCTGTGCCCATTTTACAGATTAAGAAAATAAAGACAGGAAATGACCTATCCAAAGACCTCAGCAGGTGCATGGGACATGACAGGGTTGTCACTATGATCACAGGTAGGGATAGGAGTGTGGAGCCCTGCCTTCCCGCCCCCCAATTCTGGCTTCCTTCCCCCATTCTCATGTACCTGATACCTCCAACTCCTCTAGGCCCCTCCTTTCTGCAGGAAGTGGCTGGGGCAACCGAGGCTCATCAGGGGGTGGTGTGGGGATCAGAGGGGGTGGCAGAATGTGCAGGTCTCTGGACACTTCGCAGGGCCGTGTCACCTCCCCACCCTGCAGAAAGACC